AAACATGGTGTAGAGTGCTAGGTGGGTCCCTGCTCCAGACAAAAAAAATCTACTTTCGGTGAAAAAAGCAAATTTGATAGAAATAGTCGGTGCTTTACTAATGAAAAGGACCGAGGGAATAATTGATAACTTGACATTATACGCAATAGACAACTTTTCTTTCTTTGATAAAAAGTAGTGATTGAAGCTATCACGCATAAGAAAAAGAATTATGGAGAGGCCAGGTCAGGGGTGAGGTCATCACAATCAGCATATGGATCTTGGGCATCTGGATCCATATTGGCATATGGGTTGACTGAGCCTGTGGAGGATGCTGGTGAAGACGAATCACTGCTGGCTGCTTGTTGAAGAAGTTTCTTAGCAATAGCAATGAGCTCAGATTACTTCGATTTAGGCTACTTGGAGGAGCCTGGAACTTTAGTAGAGTTCTTAGAGGAGGACTTTTTTGCTTGGTTTTGGCTTTTGAAGGCTTTTCTGATACCTGAGGCTGCTCTGGAGTGGAAATCCTGAGGGCTGACATAGCCTTTGTTGGTGGTAGAGTTATTGCTGGAAGAATTGCAGCAACAGTTGATACTGTAACTGGTGTTGGGATCTTTACAGAAAACTCCTGTTTTACTTGGAGAATAATGCGATCATGCTGGAACCTTGGCCACCATTTTACACTAGATTGCCTGCAAACAAAGTTAGAACAAATTTCCCAAAACCATTTATTAATCCAGGGAATCTTATATTTACTGAAAAATATTAACAGACTCGTGAAATGAGTTCTGTTATAAAAATTAGGTTTAAAAATAGAGACAAAATAAGTTACCTGATCTTGTAGGTCTAGGGGTGGAATTTCAAGTATGGGGTCATGAAGAAGTCACCACTGTGCAAACCAGGCAGGAATCTGGCTTTTGAAATTCTTATCGAATTGAATGAACCAGAAGTGAATTAATGACTCATCCTGATAGAGGAAAAGCTTATTCCATGATTCAATATAATCATAGTAATTAAATTTCTTTTCATATACCTCGAGATCTTTAAGCAGAAAAGGATAAGATCCTCATTCTTTGAGAGAGATGAACTTTAAAATATATAATGAATGATATATTACTTTACTTGGTTCATTCCTATCAAATATGAGTTTGATATGAATAGATTGGGTAAAGAATAATATATCCTGATAAAAAGTAAATGTTTTCTCTGGATCAGATGGGATAAAGTTTCATCCTAGTTTCAGATAAATATTTACTATATCTTTTGGGGTGTTTAGGTGAGCATGAATAGGTTCAATGACAAACACTGTAATGGGTTCACCTTTTTTGACATAGTCAACTTTTGGGTCTGTGTGGGCTATGAAAGTTGGCTTGGGTTTAGAAACTGGGTATGGAACAACTAGTTGACTTGGGGCAACTAATTGTGGGCTTGAAGAACTAGTTGGTTCTTTTTGGGCCATTTGAAGAAAAGTGGATAGGGCTACCAAGGTAGACTGGACCACTGGTCTTACTGGGTTAGGTTTACCAAGAGGTTGGTAACGATTAGCAATTTGGATCGGACTTGACAAGACTACTAGGCTTGGCAAGGTTAATTGGGTTTTGGTTTTAGCAGTATCTCTCCCGGCTTTGAAAGAGGTACTAGCCTTACTAATTTTCCTGTCCGCCATGAGGTTCCTGCAAAAATTCACGGGTTAGGAAATTAGGTATGCAGTTATTACTGCCTTTAATATATTCGATGTCAAAATTGAAAATACTTAAAATAGACTGCCATCTGGCAAAAATCTGCTTACTAACAATGTTTTGTACATCATTTTTCAAAACATATTTTACAGATTTGCAATCAACTCTTACGAAAAATTTTTGATTTAGAATATCATCCTGAATTTAGAGATATACAGGACAATAGATAAAATCTCTTTTTTAATAGTACTATTGTTCCTTTGTGTATTATTCCAGATACTAGAGTGGAAACGAACAATTTGCTCTGCGGAGTCTGGAGTGAGCTTTTGAAGGAGGATACCACCGTAGCTAATGTCGGAGGCATTAGTTTGGATGACTTTAAAGGAATCAACCGAAGGAATACCAAGGCAAGACAAAGTTTTGATGAACTGCTTGACTTGTTGAACAATTGATGTATGAATAGAAGTCCAAGAAGGAGGATTTCCTTTGAGCCTGTCATACAGAGGTTTAACGATTTTTCTAAGATCCTGATAAAAATCAGAAACATAATTTAGGGAAACCTAAGAACCTTTGTAACTGGATTTTATCTAAAATCTCATCAGGGAACTTATCTGCAAATTGGATAGAACAACTGATGGGAATAATGATGGATTGATGTATGTTGTAACCAAGGAACCTTACTGAGGTTTGGAACAACTTAGTTTTACTAGCTGAGATGACTAGACCATTGTGCCTAACTATCTCAAGTAAAGCATAGAGATGCTTCCAATGTTCTTCTATTGACCTGAAGAATATGAGAATATCATCTATATAGACAATAGAAAAATGACTAATTCCATTAAAAATTTCATTCATTATATTTTGAAATTCACTAGGTGCATTTTTTAATCCAAATGGCATTACATTCTATTCATAATGACCAAAAGGAGTTGTAAATGCAGACTTATATCTATCTTCTGGAGATATTTGAAATTCTTATCGAATTGAATGAACCAGGAGTGAGTTAATGACTCATCCTGATAGATGAGAAGCTTATTCCATGATTCAATGTAATCATAGTAATTAAATTTCTTTTCATATCCCTCGAGATCTTTGAGCAGAAAAAGATAAGATCCCCATTCTTTGAGAGAGATGAACTTTAAAATATATAATGAATGATATATTACTTTACTTGGGTCATTCCTATCAAATATGGGTTTGATATGAATAGACTGGGTAAAGAATAATATATCCTGATAAAAAGTAAATATTTTCTCCGGATCAGATGGGATAAAGTTTCATCCTAGTTCCCGATAAATATTTACTATATCTTTTGGGTTGCTTAGGTGAGCATGAATAGGTTCAATGACAAACACTGTAATGGGTTCACCTTTTTTGACATAGTCAACTTTTGGGTCTGTGTGGGCTATGAAAGTTGGCTTGGGTTTAGAAACTGGGTATGGAACAACTAGTTGACTTAGAGTAACTAATTGTGGGCTTGAAGAACTATCTGGTTCTTTTTGGGCCATTTGAAGAAAAGTGAATGGGGCTACCAAGGTAGACTGGACCACTGGTCTTACTGAGTTAGGTTTACCAAGAGGTTGGTAACGATTAGCAATTTGGATCGGACTTGACAAGACTACTGGGCTTGGCAAAGTTAATTGGGTTTTGATTTTTGCAGTATCTCTCCCGGCTTTGGAAGAGGTACTAGTCTTACTAATTTTCCTGTCCGCCATGAGATTTCTGCAAAAATTCACGGGTTAGGAAATCAGGTATGCAATTATTACTACCTTTAATATATTCGATGTCAAAATCAAAAATACTTAAAATAGACTGTTATCTGGCAAAAATCTGCTTACTAGTAATGTTTTGTACATCATTTTTCAAAACATATTTTACAGATTTGTAATCAACTCTTACTAAAAATTTTTGATTTAGAATATCATCCTGGAATTTAGAGATACACAGGACAATAGATATATATATATTTTTTTAAAGATTAAATATTTTACATTTTACCTGTAATGTATTAAAATTATTGTAATCTAGTTATTCTACTAGTTTTTGTTGCTCAATTCATCAAAAACTATCCCATTGACATTGATATGAATCAGTAATAGAAGAATCACATTGCAACATTTTTAATATATTATTAAGAGTATAATATAAAAAATTTGATCTTTTAGGGTATATAGTGAGAATTCTTATATTCTTTAGGGTTCAAAGTGAAATTCTCCCTTTTGTTATTAGCCCTGCTTTTTATTTTCTTTGCACTGGCCGCATGTACTTGTCTAAAGAGGAAAATAGATTCGAAGACTTTGTCTACGCCTCTATCTCTCCCACCCCCCCCCCCCCCCCCCCCCCCCCCCCCCCCCCCCCCCCCCCCCCCCCCCCCCCCCCCCCCCCCCCCCCCCCCCCCCCCCCCCCCCCCCCCCCCCCCCCCCCCCCCCCCCCCCCCCCCCCCCCCCCCCCCCCCCCCCCCCCCCCCCCCCCCCCCCCCCCCCCCCCCCCCCCCCCCCCCCCCCCCCCCCCCCCCCCCCCCCCCCCCCCCCCCCCCCCCCCCCCCCCCCCCCCCCCCCCCCCCCCCCCCCCCCCCCCCCCCCCCCCCCCCCCCCCCCCCCCCCCCCCCCCCCCCCCCCCCCCCCCCCCCCCCCCCCCCCCCCCCCCCCCCCCCCCCCCCCCCCCCCCCCCCCCCCCCCCCCCCCCCCCCCCCCCCCCCCCCCCCCCCCCCCCCCCCCCCCCCCCCCCCCCCCCCCCCCCCCCCCCCCCCCCCCCCCCCCCCCCCCCCCCCCCCCCCCCCCCCCCCCCCCCCCCCCCCCCCCCCCCCCCCCCCCCCCCCCCCCCCCCCCCCCCCCCCCCCCCCCCCCCCCCCCCCCCCCCCCCCCCCCCCCCCCCCCCCCCCCCCCCCCCCCCCCCCCCCCCCCCCCCCCCCCCCCCCCCCCCCCCCCCCCCCCCCCCCCCCCCCCCCCCCCCCCCCCCCCCCCCCCCCCCCCCCCCCCCCCCCCCCCCCCCCCCCCCCCCCCCCCCCCCCCCCCCCCCCCCCCCCCCCCCCCCCCCCCCCCCCCCCCCCCCCCCCCCCCCCCCCCCCCCCCCCCCCCCCCCCCCCCCCCCCCCCCCCCCCCCCCCCCCCCCCCCCCCCCCCCCCCCCCCCCCCCCCCCCCCCCCCCCCCCCCCCCCCCCCCCCCCCCCCCCCCCCCCCCCCCCCCCCCCCCCCCCCCCCCCCCCCCCCCCCCCCCCCCCCCCCCCCCCCCCCCCCCCCCCCCCCCCCCCCCCCCCCCCCCCCCCCCCCCCCCCCCCCCCCCCCCCCCCCCCCCCCCCCCCCCCCCCCCCCCCCCCCCCCCCCCCCCCCCCCCCCCCCCCCCCCNCTCTCTCTCTCTCTCTCTCTCTCTCTCTCTCTCTCTCTCTAAATCTATATCTGTATGCGTATGGCTCGGCAAGTATCATCACAGCAGGCAGCAGCGAGCGTGCCATCTCGGTCTATGCAAGTATGGGGAGCTGTGATGGATTGGCTCTCCTTTCTCTTTCAAATATTCCTTCAGATCATCCCTTCCTTGCTTCACATCCTCTCTTCTTCTTCTCCTCCTTCCTTCAAGCCCTTGCCTGTCGCCGAACTCCCTCTCGCCGAATCATCGCCGTCTGCGCAAGTTAGCATCGGCAACGTAATAAACGACGACGCCGTCGAACGTAGCGAAGGTCATAACATAGACAAGCTAACGGTACGATCATAGTGATGGATTTTAAAGTTTGAATATTATGGAATTTTTGAATTAATTTTTCGTTAATTATGCAAATTGTCTTTTGTATGTGCGTGCGTTTATGCATATCAGTATGCGTGTTTTCATGTATGAGCAATAGTCGTCTATATATGAAGTTCATATTCTTAGTATTTTGAATACTAGCTTCAGCATTGTATAAATTGTTTCGGAGAACGAGTGAATAGGCTAGATTGAGTGGGGACATTGATATGGAAGTGGATAGGGCAAATTATCGACTCTTTAATTTCATGTGCTAGTAAGTCGTTGATGTGGAAATTGAATTTAATGAATCAGCTTTTTTGGGGTGAGCCGACTAAGATTATTGCCGATAGACTTCTGAATTTGGGGCCATATATCATATACAATTTATTTGGCATTTCATTCAACAATGGAATGTTTAAACTTCAAAACAAATCTATTGCAAATGATGCAGGACTTGCATAGTTTTCTCAAAGAAGGCGGGTTTAGGGCTTTTTGAATTTGACGATCAGATGAGAAATCATGTTCATATTAATTTTAACAAAATGATAGCTTGCGTGAATTTCAAAAGATGAATTATTATTGCTTGCAGAACATGAATCTACAGCATAGAAATTTCGATATTCCAGAGTTTTTAGCCTCTTCCAAAAGTGGCAATTGTTACTTCTCTACATAACTATAGTCATGAAGCTGGATTTTAACCAACACGTTTTACTTTTCCGTTGATCAATGACTGCTGAGCTGCAAGGTCAAACTGATTACCCTTTAGTTTTGGTGTTTCAAAGTTGATGAATAAATTTAATAGATTTGCTATTTTAGATTTATGAAACGTTGTGTAGTATAATTTGGTTTGGAAGTTCTATTATGGTACTCTACTAACTACTCATGTTGAACATATTTGTTTGGTGCAATTACATTTTAATTAATTGTGAGCATTCACCTTATTTTCACTTTGCTGAATGTTCTCATACCCATTTCACACAAACATGCCACCATGCCAGAATAATAGGTTGGACTGACATATGGACACCCTGCATGCAGGTGGTTCTTGATTTAGATGAGACCCTAGTCTGTGCATATGAAAAATCCAGCTTGCCTGCTGCAGTTCATACCCAAGCAACAGAAGCTGGGTTGAAGTGGTTTGAGTTAGAATGTGTATCTTCGGACAAGGTCAGTCTTTTGTTCACTCTTACTCCCAAGTCGCAACTTCCCTCCCTACCTCCCCTTCTCTCGTAATGAATGAGCATATCATTCAAATTTCAACTAATACTTTTTGCTTGAAGGAATGCGAAGGAAAGCCTAAGGTCAGTTATGTAACAGTCTTTGAGCGACCTGGTTTGCATGAGTTCTTGGAACAGATTGGTGAATTTGCTGACCTTGTTCTGTTTACTGCTGGTCTTGAAGGTATGCATGCTGTATCACCAGTTCCCTGGTCTTAATTACATCATTTCTACCCCCTCCCTCCCCTTCTCTCTTTGAACTATTACTCATTGTCTCCTTGAATAACACAGACTATGCTAAACCCCTTGTCAACAAGATAGGCATAGAAAATCAATTTCGCCTTTGCCTTTATCGACCTTCAACAGTTAACACGTAAGTATTCCTTTAGTAAATTGAAAAAAGCATAAAATTGCTTACCTTTTTTGCCCTTTTCTTTTTCAATTTTAATTTCATTCCAATTGTTCATTCTTTGTGTTTTTGAAAGTGTTACCTTGGGGTTATGCAGCTCTTGAGCCAAAGTTGAATTATATGCAATGCTTCCAGTTTAGAAAAAAAAAAAAAAAGGAAAACAAATCAGAAGCCAATAATTTCTTTAGATCAGAAGCCATAATTGGTCTGGTTATTTGTTAGGAGCCCAACTTTGCTAATGGGTTTCTGTGTGATTGAAAGTGCACGTCTGACCATGGTCAAAGTATCACTATTTTTTAATCTCACTATTATGGGGTTATGTTCTACATTGGCCTTTGATAGAGCAATGGAAGAACATGATTTATGCAGCTAATCCAAATTGTTTGGGTAAGACTTTGTTGAATTGAGTCAAGTTGCCCCCAAAACTCTGTTTCTAAGCCAACGAGTCAATGCATGCATTTTTGCATGTGCCAACCGGTCATGAACATACCATGTCATTATAAGAACACGCCCATACACATGTAGAATGGTTCTGATTTCTTGCATATAATATCAATACTGAAGAACTGAAATTGGAATTTGTTTTTCATTTGTAATAGCAGTAGTGAACTAAACTGAATTCGGAGAACTACCAAGTTGAACATACATTGACAAATTGTGTAAACCACAGGAAATTTCAAGACCATGTGAAGGATCTGTCTTGTATATCAAAGAATCTCTGTCGAATTGTTATTGTTGATAACAACCCTTTCAGTTTCCTGCTGCAACCACTTAATGGTATACCATGCATTCCGTTCTCTGCTGCACAACCATATGATGAGCAGGTACAGACCTTTTTCAATTGCAATGAAGAATTTATAGATACATGACTTCTGGTTTTAATTTTAATACCTCTCTGTTATTTCATCTGGTTAATATAGCTATTGAAGGTCCTCCTTCCACTCCTCAAGCACCTCTCTGTGCAGAAGGATGTCAGGCCTGTACTCTATGAAATGTTTCACATGCCAGAATGGTTTCAAATGCATGGAATCCCTGCATCTGTTTTACCGGTTTAAAATGAAGTTATACATGGGCGAGCTAATTCTTTTCAAGGCACCTGCACTGATCACATTTCATGTGGCTGCACTCATTCACTAAACCTGTTTGTGTTGTATATTATCCTAGTGTGAACAGGTGCCATTGACCAAACTACTGATTCATCAATTTCTTGCAAGGGTGGTTGCTGTATTCATCTGGGGTATATCCGTTCAAGATATATAAAGTATGTTCTTGCTCCAATTCTTTCATAATTCCTTTCCCTATTGGGCGCATGTAAGAAATTATTGATAGCAAATTGTTTCTAATAGCAGCTCCATTTAGTTATCACTAGCCTGCAGATTCTTACCTGCTATGTTGGCTCTATCCTCTTGTTACAATTAGCTGCCATCAACTTAATAATTCCACGGTTGTTTGTTTCCAAATGTCCCTAGTATACCTGGTTTAAATAACCTGATTGCAAATATTGTTTAATCTGTTATTTCTTCGTTCAGAAGTCATAGTTAATGAAGCATGCGAGGATGACACAATTTGCCACAACCCCTTCATGCGGTTACCAAGGCATCAAGGAAAGTAGATAAGTTTGACCTAGAAATTGGCATACTAAAACTGACATTTGAGTTTTGGCCATTGCCCTGAGGGTTAAGTGGTAACATTGTCTAAGTTTCGAACATTGTCCTGAGGTTGTAGTGGTACCATTGTCAGGTAGCCAGATAAAACTGGCACACGACTGTTGGCCCCGGAGTGGTGGTAACATTGTCCACATTCCCAATACCCTTATTTCTGGTGTGGAAAGAAAACATCCTTCTTTGCAAAGGTTTCCCTTTGCAAAAAGGCCTGCCTGACCTCTTGGGTCTTTCACCTTCATCTCCAATACATATGATACAAGCAATGTTCAGATGATGGCTGAAAAGATGCGACAGAAAACATTCCCCATCAATTGGAAAAAAACAGATGATCAATTCCAGCTTTAACTATCATAAAAAGATGCAGAATTCTCGCTTTTCTTATTCCTGGTCTACTTCTAAAATTATAGCAATATCAAACCATCTTAGAATACACTGTAGATGGTAATTAAAAGATTACGAACTTAAAAAAATTCAGCAGTTGGCCGTATACAACTTGTAACGTTGGTAGTATCTGGGTACTGTGACAAACTTGAAACGAACTTTCCTCGGATAGTAAAGTTCTCCAGTAACAGCAGCGGCAACTTCTCCTCGGATTGCAGTCAGATCCTGGTACTGAGATCTTGATCCAACAGAAGCTTCTTTTGCTTACATACATATTTCTATCTAACCGGAAAACTTCAGGTAAAATTGTCATTCCTGAATGCAGCTGACCCAGTAGATCAGCGACAAACTCCTCCAGCAGGTTCAACAAATTCACATTTGAAGCATGACTTCATCTGGAACCATGATATGGAAAAGCAAAAACAAACTGGCATTGTCATCTGCAAAACTGAAAGAACTTGAAACGGAGTCGGGGAAATTAGTATATACGACCATGCATGCGGAAACACATGTCAACTTCTTAAGTCAGCTGGCGCTAGATGATTCTTTGGATTTTTCAGTCACCGCATCCTTAGCCGAATTGCCTGTTTCTCCTGTCTGAGCCTGAGTCGTTTGTACCGGGCTAGCATTTTGAGAATCTGATGCAATTCCAAGAACCACCAATACAGACCTAAAATAATTCCTTAATCAGAAGATATAGACAAGATTATGCTAGACAAATACGTGAAAGTGCATTTTAAATGAACCTTGGAAGTGAAGACCGTATGTTGGGTTGGTTTGCATGTGCAATCAAGGGACTCTTGAGTGCTGGCGTTCTATTCAAGGCATTTTCAAGTTGTGCAGGAGGTAGCTGAAAAGACAAAGTCATGGTTAACAACACGTCAACAATCAAACTTCTCTCGTCAACCAAATGACATTAAGAAATCATGACAATGAATCCGTCAACTCTACCAATATAGTCAAACAATCCAATGCTTTGAGGGCAAAAAACTTTAAAGAACATAGAGGGAATCAGGATGTGACGATCTAGGGGAAAGATATTTGCCAAAGGTTCACTAAGCCAAAGCACAACATTTTTCACCAGAGGCTCATTAGGTCAAAGCATAAGATGCCTCACCCAGTCCTCCAGGAAGATGAAGACCTGAAAATAAGAAATTCCTTTCTTGGATATTCATGGAATTCGGCAAGACTCTTGAGTATTGTCTGATACGCCATTACCCTAACTTTAAAATTAAATCATTTCCTAGACGAGTGATAGGATTTGGACTTGGAGGAATGTAGGCATACGGTAACAGAACCTGAAATGTAGCTCATATATGGACAAAAAAATAAGATTCAACTTTATACACGAAATATGAATCAGGAAACAAAAAAAACATGGTATTGTTCCAGAGAGTATAGTCTAAAATAAGGCCTACGATGCCCGTAATTGAAATCTCATTATTTTTAACCTCATCATACCTTTCGTGATAATGGTTATTATGGGCCGTATTTTTTAAGTCATAATTCTCGTAGGAAAAAGGCATACTAAACATCCAAAGCTCAAAGAGAAACAGATGTAATTATAAAATTGACAAGAGAATGATGCATATGAGGGTCGTGACCAAAACTTTGAAAGTGCAACAGGTCAAGAAGCCGTAGATACAGCATTAACTTAAAACCTAAAGTGCTAGCCTGGTGTACCAAAATAGAGCACACCTGAAGCAACACACCAAAAGATTGGGGCTTGGTCAATTGTGCACACTTTAAGAATCCTACCCACAGCTTTGGATACTTCCATATCTGCATATGACACACAATATCACACGAGTCCTGGCAGAGGAATAACATGCAGGAAGTGTTCTGACATTAAGTACAGTCACCTGCTTGCTTACAAGACGAGACTGGATATCCATTATAAAGTCAACCTGCAAAAGTGACCCAGACAACTCAACCAGCCGTATAGTGAATATCAAAAGATAGGACATTAAGGAAGACAACGTATATGCGCATGCTATGATTGATGAGAAAAAGTTGTCATGCCAAGACTCTCTGGCAGGATTGTATTTGAGATTGGTAAGGTTTTTCAATTATAGATATTGCAACTACAAGTGGTAACACTATTTTTGGCATCAGAATGGGTGATTTGTTTGGATGGCATAGAGATGGACTTGCAAAATTGGATCCAACTCTATACTGAAACGGACATGAGAGTAATTAATTGTCATCGTTTAGGCCTCCATGCTTGATATGAAGCACATATAAGGAACTAGGCACGATCTATGTGGCAATTAAAGAGCATCAAAGTGGCTCATGATGTACAGAAGCTCAGTGTCTTGCAGATAGTGTAACACATATGGGGTATGCTCTCAACAGCAACCAAATGGCTATCATTATTTGACAGGAAGCAAATATCATATTTAATATCTTACCAGGGATGGAAAAGCACCTATGGCTTGTAATACTGTACGCATAAACAATAAGGGAAGAGGAATCTGCTCAACCTGCATAATCGATCATAATGATGTGAACTTCACACAGCACAAAATAAAGAAGGGATAACAAGTTTCAGGTTCACATACCAATTGATTCAAGACCTTTGCAAGAACTTGGTGAGTGAATATTTGCCGTTGCTCAAAACAAGCATTGCACGCATCTGTTACCTGATGATATAATGAAATTCTTTAGTTGAAAGTTGGTGCAGAATACAAGGGAGAGTGAAAAAAAAGAAGTAAAAGAACATTTGCCTTCTTCAAGGGAATTCCATCTCTGTCGGGATCAATCCCATGGATAGCAATTAATACTTCAGCGGGGGTGAGCACTGGGCCAGAATGAGATGATCCCTGGGCAATAACATGTCCAGTAAATGTCAGAAGAATCTGGTTGGCGATGAACAATACACTGTTGAACTTGAGCATGTGGTTTTATGCTACTGTTACAACTGTTGGATCTCTTGACAGAGATGTTCTTTTGAGTAAGGGCATGTCAAATGGCAAATGAAGAACAAACTATAAAATAGACAATGATAAAAATAAGGTGTAAGATGAAAGAACAAAGTATGACGTATGACAGCTTGGAAGATTTATGAAAATCTGTGCGATCAGAGAAGTAATTCATTTATAAGAAACTTTCACTGCCTAAGCAAATAAGTCAGATTAGCATTAGCAATCTGATGAATTTGCAAAATTATTCATATTGGCGGCAGCCTCATGCACTGGGCCACAGTTTTTATTCATATTGACGGCAGACGATCACAATTGTATGTCATCAAGCACTTGGGAATAGCACATGCGAGAAGGTTCAACTGCAAGCATCTTGCATTTCTGTAACATTACCGGAACGATTCAACTTAAAAAGCCCAGCTTGCACCAGGAAAGGGATCATAAATGAAGTTTTGTAGCACAATTTACCACATACAACTTTGAAAATGTGCCACACTTGGCATGCATCACATATTCACATAGCAATAGTGGGCAATGTTTATCGTAAATATACTTGTATGTATGTGACATGTTAACAGACTCAACACAAAAGAGATCAAGGAGATCCAGGTGAAGACAGATACCTGTACAGCAAGTGTAATTACACCTTGTAACTTATCCAGAGGAAGTTTAATAAGTTGGGGAAAGATCAGCAACACCTGACAAACAGAAGATAGAAAATATAAGCATTTACAGTGGAAGAATGAGAGAGACAAACACCAATCAAGATGGCATTTCTGAAGAAAAATTATAATAAAAAATTAAGCAAATTGGTATGTGGGAGAAGCTTATGGAAAACAAAGAAAAAATAAATCAATGCTACAACAATTTTCAGTATAAGGATTCTTCCACAAATGAACCACAATCCTGGATGGACAGGTGTCGTGCTAATACATCTACACAGGAAGTAATGACTGGTAGAGGTACACACGTACTGATTATAAATTAATCTGGCAAACTTTGGAGCTAAAAGCCTTGCAATGTAGGTCAAAATTAATGTAAAGTGTTATTCACCAGGATATCAATATTTTACATCGAAGTTCATAGTCCTTGCAAATATATAACATGGTTCCAACTGGTGCCTTGGTCTTGCAGTGATTTATAGTTATAAATTCCTCATCAAAGTCATAGTATAGGATTATACCTGTGATTTAGTTAACCCTTGGGTATCGACAGGCTACTTCCTAGGGCTCAAAATGAATGGTGATGGGAAAATAAAATACTAATAATTTTGATCTGGAGTTCTTTTCAAGTCTCGGCAGATTTGTCGCCAGAATATTTCAAGGTTTTCTTGCATGTCCTTTCTTGCCATCATTGATTAAAAGATGCAAGTGAATACTAAAGGGTATATGGGCCTATCAAATGGATTTTCCAAATGAATATTGTATTTAACACCACAAACAAGAGGCTAAAATAAAGCATCTAGCAATTTATGGTCGCTTTATTCATTGTGTTGCTCAATAAAATTTGGTACTGAAAGAGAACGTAGTTAAGAATGCATTGCTTTGTCACAAGTACAGATGAAGTTTCCTGGTGTAAACTATTAGAGTTTCAACATGGTGATCAGGATAGACAGAAGAGCCCCAGAAACCGTGCAACCAATTGTTGGATCACTGGCAAGAAAATAAACAGTGATAACTTCAAAAGCTTATCAAAACACACAAGCCTTGAGCAACTTATAATAACATGGGAAGTTCAACTCTATTTCAGGGTTAGATAAAGGAAAAACTATATGAAAGGATCAAAATTCTCAGTTTTAATCCATCCATGAAAGAATAAGAACACTCCATGCAAAATGTTCTCATTTTATCAATTGCAAAAGAAACACTTGAAAAGCACTGAGATAACTCTCACGGTATGCAATGAAGTAATATAAATTGAGTTATGACGTTTACCAGCCAAAAGAAAATTGCATAAAATGAAAAGTATAAAGATCGCTGATGACTAATCATAGATTTACAATTTTGAGTATCATAGACAAGAGTCTCTTCCTAATAAGACGTTGCAGTTAGTTTACCAAAATGAGAAAGGTTTCACGCAAGCAAAAGTTATATACACAGAGAATATGTCAACAGAGAAACAGAGAATGACAAACAAATAGGAAGATGGATCACAACCTCATCTTTCGGCAGGAACGGCAATATTGGAATTAAAATCTCAGCGTCCTATAATGAGACAGCCAACAAATTGATAAGCCAAAGCAATTAAGTTGTATAAAACATCAAGAAGTGTTATATTCCATACCTTTACTTTTGTGTCGTACAACTTCCTAATGGTAAATATTAATTCTGGAGAAGGAATTGTGCCATCTGTCAGTGTACACAAAACCTATAAAGGAAAAGGACATGAATGGTATCTTATTGAATTTGTCACAGGAAAAAATAGGTAATATTACATCTTTCATCTCATGCAAATTAAACAAAATATATAAAGACATAAAAGACCTGCATGAGAAGGCTCTCGCTTCCATTCGGTGGATCTGAAATTATTTCAAGAAGCTCAGACGATGAACCAATAGTGCGAACCAGTATTGGGATTTGGAGATGAACTGCCTGCACCATATAGCTGCTTAAACCAACAAGCTGATAGCAACAATGGTGAAAACCATGTTGATTACCATACGGTATTGGGGATGACTAAATCAAACCTGCTTTATCGGCTTTGACGTGCTGCTATAGATAACGAAAATTTGGTGGAAAAGGGAGTGCTTCTGTGAATCAGTATACACCAAGTTATCTAGTTAGGTCTAGAAAACAGGTTCCACTAAAGAACTATGCTGATGGTACTATCAGAGTTAAAAACTAAGAAATTAAGTTAATTGATACCTTTGTGCATAGAGCAAAATATAGTGACATGCACCGCTGCACCTCGGTCACTGAAGAGGACGCTATGCTTTCAGATGTGGATGATTGACGAGTGTCAGAAGATATATCTTTGGTGATGCCACTCAACGATTGATTTTCATCTAACGGTTTTTCCACATTGGAATCCTGGAAAAAGTACAAAGACAAGTGAAGCATCAAGTTCCACCACAGAGCATGCAGTAGAATGCCAAGATCCCAAACAAATCACAGAGACAGAGTGCCCAGAAGTTAAGCATCACTAAATTAGAGTACATATTGTCTAAACACTAAAGGATGCTTGATTCACCCATGAGCAACTTATAGATTTCTTTTTCCCACTTTCTTTTACTTTAGTGCAGCCAGTTTACATATTGGTTAAACAACAGATGCATTCTTCACCCACAAGCAACTGATAGATATCTTTTTTTCCTTTCACTTTAGTGCAACCAGTTATTTTAAAGAATAAAGTGAGAAACAAAAGGTATAACTAGCAGGAATTAATGATAGGATTTCGCTCTAGCAAAAAAAGAAGAGCTATATGCCAGTATGCAATTAAATACTAACAGGTCATTAGACTAGAAACATCCTCGGCTACTTTCTTAAAATATAGCACTCTTGCCAAAGCTTAATTGAAAGGAAAGAATGCTAGTAGCATAAAATCTTTCAGATCTCAAACTCAAAAGTAATTCAGATACTAAAGGAACCTTGAAAATCAGAAACCTGATTAGTAAGAATACTATACGAGAAAATAAAGGGCAGTTTTGTGGATAGGATATCAGGAAATATATTTCCCCACAATGACACTCAACTAAATATACAGATGGTGTTGCTTCAGCCAGTGTATGGGATTGGGACGGACTGAGAAAAAAATGGTTGTATAACAAATTTTCTTTCATCATTCACATACTTACAGTTGTACTATCATACCAATGTAGAAAAGATCCGTGTTTGATTATCTCATAACTCAGAAAGAAGTCATAGAAATAAGAGAAACAGCATAGCAAGATAACTAAAAAGCTTTGTTCACATCCCAGTAAGGGGCAACTAATAAGTTGTTTCCTCTTGGATGCTTTGACATGGTATCATGTTATGGGAGGCCCATGGGTCAAGTCCCAATCGTTTATGTTTTTTGGGTGTTGGTCCCTCCATGCACATAAGGTTGCACGTGAAGGGGATTCTTACAGTTTACCCACATTGGTGGTATAAGGCCTTGAAACCTTGTAGACCAGTTCACTCATTACATTGGATTTGAATCGGATACCTTGGCAATCGGATACATAAGAAAGTACCCCTTCGTGACTTAGAAAAAGCAATCCTCCCCCTCACTCTGAAAAAATGAATTATTCTATTCTAGTACTCAAAAAAGTTTCGTGCCAAAAAGAGTAAGGCCATTACAAATGGTGGTCCCACTTGTTGATGAGAGGAGTAGACTTGATTTAAACAAATTTGAAATCAAAAAAATACAATTTTGCAACCACCTCTTTTGTCCTCCCAAATTGAACGTCCAAGAATAATTATAAGTTTAACTCCTATCCAGACTAACATATGGCCCTTGATAGAGCGAAATGTAGAAACATGATTCATGTAACCGACCCCAAATAGTTAGGATTAAGACTTTGTTAATTTGAGTTGAGTACCTCCTATCCAGACTAATACTAAATCAGCATTTAAGATGAAATTTTGAATCATATTTTAGACCCTTAACAAATCCATTTCAGCAACATTCAATGGCCACACCCCGATCTCCAAATGTTCTCATGCCTCTTTCCTGGCACATCCCAAAATCTGAGTCCACTTTGAAAAGTCAACATCGAAAGTTTATAACTGTTAAGAGTTGTTAAGAATAATAGGGTAGTATGTGTAAATTATTAATAGTACGAGGGTGTATGTGTAATTCTTATTATTGTAGGTTAAGTATAAATACAAGTGATGTATGAGAGCTATGTTAAGTTTTTAACCTCTCTCTTTCTCCCTAATATTGTCTATAATATTGTGTTATGTTAATCCTATCAACTTAACATGATCTTGCTAATGAAAAGTAAATTAAAAGAAAACTGAGGAACAAATAACACGAAAGATGGAGACATATCAGGACTCAAGTTAGTAGTCCCAAAACCTGAAACTTTAGAACAAGAACCATTAGCAAAGGTAACACTACGTGTGGAAGTAGTAGACTAACAAGTAGAAAAGACATCAGACGCACCAGTCATGTGGTCAGAAGCACCAGAGTCTATGATCTAGGGACTGCGAGTGGAAGACAATAAACAAGTGGAAGCAGTACCTGACTGGGCAAAAGTAACAATGGAAGGAAATGGGACAGCCTGTTGTTGGGACCGGAACTGAGTATACTCCTCTCGTGTAATAGTAACCAACCCAGTGTCTGGTGGAGCTGACTGAGGTGTAGAAGCAACAACAGAGGTGTCATCCTGATAGGAAGCCTGATTCGCAGCACTAGAGGATTTTCCATGTAAATCCCAACAGAAATCAACAGTGTGTCATTTCAGTCTAGAGTCAATAATCGTGTATCTAGTCCATTTGAATTAGTTCATTCTGATGTATGGGGTCTAATAAAGAATATTTCATCAAATAAATATCCTTATTTTGTGACATTTGTGAATGACTATTCTCGTGTAACTTGGTTGTTTTTTATGAAAGCTTAGTCTGAATTATTCTCTATATTTGAGATTTTTCGTAAGGAAATAAAAACTCAGTTTGGTTGTTGTATACGTCGTTTACGTTCTGATAATACTCGGGAATATGAATCTGATCCTTTTTCAGCTTATCTTAATAAAACTAACATTATTCATCAGACTTCTTGTACTTACACCTCTCCACAAAATGGTGTTGCTGAATGTAAGAACCGTCATTTGTTGAAAGTCACCACTGTCCTGTTATTCCAGATGAATATTTCTCGATATTTTTGAAGTGATGCAGTTCTTACTGCTTGTCATCTTATTATTCGTATACCATCCTCTGTGTTAAATGGGCACAGTCCATATTCTGTCATTTTTTCTAGTAAGCCCTTATTTTCCCTGACTCCTAAGGTTTTTGGATATGTCTATTATGTTCATAATTTGGGTCCTGGATATGACAAACTTGACCCTCGAGCTACCAAATGTGTATTTCTTGGTTACTCCCGCACACAGAAGGGGTATTGTTACTACAGTCCTTCTCTGCACCGATACTTTACTAGTGTCGATGTCACATTTGAAGAATCTGTTCCATACTTTTCAACACCTTCTCAGTCTTTGGATCTGAACTTTGGATCATCTTCTGTCCCACCATCTCTTTCCTCATCTTCAGATATTACACTGTCCACTGTGTTACCATTTACTTTGTCTCTCCGTGTCTACTCTCGCCGTCCTTGTCCATCGCTTAAGGTGCCCGTACCGTCTTCCTTGCCACCATCTGATCCTGGTGCATCAGGTAATTTAGACTTTTTATCTATTGCTCTTCGCAAAGGTACTCGTTCGTATGTTACTAATCATCCCATTTCTTATTTTGTTTCATATGATGTCTTGTCTCCTGTCTTCTCCTGTTTTACTTCCCAATTATCTGCTATATCTATTCCTAAGTATTTACAAGATGCATTATCTAATCCGGGTTGGAGGAAAGCTATGGAGGAGATGGATGTTTTACATCATAATGGGACTTGGGATCTCGTTCCTTTACCACCTGATAAACGAACTGTTAGCTGTCGTTGGGTGTATACTGTTAAATTTCATCCAGATGATTCTGAGGAGCGTCTCAAAGCCCGACTAGTTGCAAAGGGCTTTACTCAGAATTATGGTGTTGATTATGAGGAGACTTTTTCTCCTGTTGCCAAAATTTTCTCTGTTCGTATCTTGATGTCTTTGGCTGCTAATCTTAATTGACTCTTGTTTCAGTTAAACATCAAGAATGCCTTCCTACATGGTGACTTGGTTGAGGAGGTATACATGGAGCAACCACTTAGGTTTACTGCTCAGGGCGAGTATCTTTGTATGGTTTGAAGCAGTCACTGAGGGCATGGTTTGGTAAGTTTTCAGATGCAGTTTTAGAGTTTGGTCTTCTTCGATGTCAGACAGATCATTCTGTATTTCATAGACAGACAGATGTTGGATATGTCCTATTAGTGGTCTATATAAATGATATTGTGATTACTGCAAATGATTCTGAGGGGATTACCAAGTTAAAAATATTTTTACAGGATCGATTTCATACAAGAATTTAAGAAAACTCAGATATTTCTTGGGTATTGAGGTGGCTCGATCTAAACATGGTATTTGCTTATCCCAGAGGAAATATGTACTTGATAGGCTTGAGGAAGCAAGTTTGCTGGGTGGTAGACCGATTGATGTTCCTATGGATCCGAATTAGAAATTATTGATGGATGATGGTGCATTGTTTGAGAATCCGGGTCAGTATCGTAGATTGGTTGGGAAGCTTAATTATCTCACTATTACTCGACCGGATATTTCCAATGTAGTCAGTATAGTAAGTCAGTTCATGGAATGTCCTAGAGTACCACATTGGGAGGCAGTTACTCGTATTCTGCGATATCTCAAACGAGCTCCTAAACTTGGACTGTTATATCGAGCTAATGGACATCTTAGAGTGGAATGTTTCTCAGATGCTGATTGGGCTGGCTCTCCTTCTGATCGGAGATCAACCACTGGTTATTATACTTTCTCAAGAAGTAATGTTGTCTCATAGAAAAGTAAGAAACAACTCGTGGTAGCAAGATCCAGTGCTGAGGCTGAGTATAGGGCAATGGCACATACGACGAGTGAGTTGACTTGGCTACTACACTTTCTCCAAGAAATTAAATTTTCAGTTTAACTTCCTTTACAGTTGTTTTGTGACAACCAGGCAGTTATCCATATCGCTGTCAATCCTGTGTTTCACGAGAAAACCAAGCATATTGAGGTTGATTGTCACTTTATTCGGGACAAAATAGTAGCTGGGGAGATTACAACTCTATTTGTGAAATCTGAAGATCAGCTTGCAAATATGTTTACCAAAGCATTGAGTCGTACACGTCTTACAACTATTTGTTCCAAGCTTGGATTATATGATATATATAATCCAGCTTGAGGGGGAGTGTTAAGAATAATTGGGTAATATGTGTAAATTGTTAATAGTACGAGGATGTATGTGTAATTCTTATTATTGTAGGTTAAGTATAAATACAAGTG